GAGGAGGCACAGGTAGATGGACGTTACAGCACAGTAGAGGCTTGGAGTCCCTGCAGCCTAGCACCCGGCAGGGCAGGAGGCCAGCCGGAAGGGCAGCGTGCCATCTTCTAAGCCCCCCCAGCACGCAGCTGTGACAAGGCAGGGCTCTGCACAGCTCTGCCAAGGCAGAGCACTCCCCACCTGCACTGCAGGACCTAAAGGACAGCGCTGGTCCAGAGCAGCGGCCTTGCCCCACAACTGCCCCTACCTCCTTCAGACGGGAAGCTGCCATCCCAGCCCTCTCTCCTCCCCACTCTGGAACTGATGCTTCTCCCTGTCATGCCAGAGCCTCCTTGTCCAATTATTAAAGTCCTTTGTTTTTAATTCCAAGGGCACTGGAAAATGCCCTAGGACTTGTACTGATCACACCTCACCCACCACCGGTTTCAGGGGTTGACCCAGACTAACAGGGGCATGTGGCTTGGCCTGCAGCATTACAAGGCAGAGGAACGGAAGACCGAGGAGAACCACATCCCTTTCACTCACAGAACATGCCTGAGGCACCCAGAAGAAGCTTTATGAGCAATGAACTTCCCCTAACACTTCTGCGATCTGCTATTTTTTGGTCCTCTCACCCGCCCCAGCCATCTGCTTGGACAAGGAGGCTCTGGCATGACAGGGAGAAGCAGGGAGATGAAACTGAAAACACTCACCTTAAGTATAAAGGTCCCACCAGTGGCCGGATCCTGGACGACCTGCACCTGGGAGCAGCACATACAGCACGGATCAGAGTGGGTGACGGCTGCCGCCCTGACACACAGCCCATGGGAATGCCCCAGGGACTCTGCAACAACAAGCTCCCACCCAACTAGAGGAGTCCGGCGGTGCTCAACCCCCTACTCTTGAAAGACGAAACACAGGCTATTAGCAACGAGACAGCGCCAGAGCCAGGGAGTGCAGAGTTAGTTAAAGAAAGAGATGACTCCCACACCATTTTTGCTTCCTTCTCAACGAAGGGTTTCGCATTGCTCCTTCTGTGGGGTGCGTGGGGTTGCCCACCATGGCCTCAGTGGGACAGGAGGACCACAGCAGTCCTGACAAACAGAGATGTGTGACCGGCAGAGGAGAGCAATCTGCCAGTGTGCGTATGGAGATGGTAAGCCATCTTCACTCTGAGATCAAGAACTACTAATTAGTTAACTCCTCTGTATAACTAGTCTTCTGCTGAAGTCTAGGTTATCCACAGGAGTCCACCATCATGGTACCTAGGCATCAGTCACGATTCCATGCGTGGGAAAGAACCAGATGCATCAACCTCCTTGTAGGGAGGTCTTGTCAGCAAAAGGAATGGGGACATTAAAAGATTTCCCAACTAAACCCTAAAGGGACTTGCAACCTCGCCTGCGAATTTTCCATGGTGGGAACATGTCCTGGGTTCGGCCAGGACAGGGTTAATTTTCACCAGGAGCCAGGAGGGAACACAGCCAGGGGGGTTGACCCAACCTGGCCAACCACAGCAGGGAATTCCATACCATGTGCCTTCATGCTGGGTTCTGGCTGGGGGAAGCTGGGCGGTGGGAAGGCAGTTGCAGCTCAGGAGCGCGGGAGCGCATGGCAGCGGCGGGTGGTGAGAGTTGCTCTCTGTGTTCTGCTGTTTTGTGTTGTGTTTTCTCCTCATCTGTATCGTTGTTGTTCCTGTTCCCTCTGTTTGCTGTTCTGTTAAACTGCCCTTATCCCCACCCACCAGTTTCTGCCTGTTTCTTTCCATTCTCCTCCGCACCCCGGCGGGGGGAGGGGCGGCAGAGTGGCCCCATGGCCCTACTGTTGCCAGCCACAGCCAAACTACAACAGAACGGTGTGGATGGTAACCCTCCCGTCCCTTGGTGGGTGTGCTGGGGGACAGGTTAGCCCATCCCCGCTGCCAGGACCCTCCAGGTTAACTCCCCTTGGCCCAGCCCCAGCCTCACCCCCCCAGTCCCAGGTCCAGTCATTACCTTGTCGATCACTCCCACAACCTTACACCGCCTCAGGTTCTCCACCGCCGAGCTCAGCGTCCTGATCGGCCGGAAGCGCAGGCTGCTGTAACCCTGCAAGGCAGTGAAGAAGAGGGTGAGGGACCTAGAGATGCTACTGTCCATCAGAGCGGCTGGGAGAAGTCCCCGCATTTTCCAGAGCAGGCAGCAATACTGTCAGGCTGGTCAACATCTGGAGACAACACTCCAACCGCCGTGGCTGATTCCTAACATCAGCTGGACCATTTTCTTGGCCAGCTCCTGGATTTCTGAAGTTTTCAGGGGAAGTGTGCACCTGCAGCAGAGGCAAAATCACTCCAAAATTTACACCTGGACCCAGTCTGCCTCAGTACTAAGCGGATCTGTATGGAAGGTGGTTGCCATTCTCCCCTTGTCCTTCTCACCAGGCCTCGACCCTGCCCTGCCTCGTTCCCCTCCCTCTTCATCAACCACCTCCTTCCCACAACACAGCAAGCAGCCATCGTCTTTTGTTTCCATCCAGACGGGAATAATGACAGGGAAGACGACATGTTTAACACCTGACAAGGTGGGTCCCCCCCATGGCTTCAGTCCCACCAAAAATGGCCATTTTCACTACGATGGCTGCAAGCTGAAACATCCACACCTGGTGGGTCCTGGGAGCACCCCAGCCAAGCTGGGCCCACCTCAGCTCTTCGCTCCAGGCAGGGCAACAAGGGGCCGCCCGCCCCCCCCCCAGCCCCTGCCATGCCAGGACTCTCTGCAGCTGATGCGTCTGCCTTTTCCTCTACGCCACCTTACCATGACCTCTGGCAGAGGTGGTCGAGGAAGCTCAGCGGGGGCTGCTTTACGTGTGTCCCCCCCCCACCCAGGTTTCCCAGTGCCACGGACCCACTGCCATCCCACCCGTGCTGCCCCATGCCAGCCCCTCACCGTGGTGGTGGGGTTGCCACCCCCTGCAGCCCGCTGGAGGTGGCAGTTGAAGATCTCCTCTGCACGCCTCAGGTACTGTGTGATCTTCCGCTTCACAGCCTCCCGGCGCTCCTTGTTGGGGTCAACTGCGGACAGTGCAGAGGGTGGGCGTGAGGGGCCTGCTGTGCCTCATCCCCTGGCCGTGATCCCCGGAGGGATCATAGAGTCATTAAGGTTGGAAAAGACCTCGAAGATCATCAAGTCCAACCATCAACTCAACACTAGAATGCCTGCTAAACCATGTCCCGAAGTGCCGTATCGACATGTTTTTTGAACACCTCCAGGGATGGTGACTCCATCACCTCCCTGGGCAGCCTGTTCCAATGTCTGACCACTCTCTCAGTAAAGAAATTTTTCCTAATATGCCTAGTCCCCTGGCTGCCTTCCCCGGGGGGGATGCCCCAGCCCCCTGGCCACGCTCCCTGGAGGGATGCCCTGGTCCCCTGGCTGTGATCCCCAGAGGGATGCCTGGTCCCCCGGCCGCCTTCTCCAAGGGGATGCCTGGGATCCCATCCATGCTCTCTGGGGGGATGCCCCAGACCCCTGACTGGTCTTCCCGGAGGGATGCCCTGGACCCCATCTGTGCTCTCTGGGGGGATGCCCTGGTCCCCTGGCTGTGATCCTGGAGGGATGCCCTGGTCCCCTGGCTGTGATCCCCAGAGGGATGCCTGGTCCCCCGGCCGCCTTCTCCAAGGGGATGCCTGGGATCCCATCCATGCTCTCTGGGGGGATGCCCCAGACCCCTGACTGGTCTTCCCGGAGGGATGCCCTGGACCCCATCTGTGCTCTCTGGGGGGATGCCCTGGTCCCCTGGCTGTGATCCCAGGGGGAATG